AAAAAAAAAAAACAAGTTTTATTTTTCTTATTCACATCTTTTCAACCTCAGCTCTACTTTATATCGCCGTTCCATAAATTTTTAAAATGTTTACTGCTGTAAAAGTGATAAAATACAAGGAAAGTCATTTTTCTTCCTGGCAACGATTTATTTGAAGGTTGGAAAAAATTTGTTAAGGTACCTAATATAAATCGTTTGCAGGTTACTAAATGTTTGAGGTTCTTTTTTTGCCAGTAAAAATAATTTTTTCTTCATTTGATTGAGTATACTTTTTGGTTAAATTTTTGGACGATAGCGGCATACACTTATTCCTCGCAGTTATATCAGAAAAATTATATAAAGTCAAAAAAAAAAATTTCTAAGAATTTGCTTGTTCAAACAATTTTAAAAACTTAATGATTTGATTGCTGTTCTACGAACCAAAAAAATGCAGATAAAAATGGCGATAAAAGTTGGGGTAGGCAAACTTTGCACGACAAGGGAAGTCGAGGTGAATAGAATGCTAAGAAAACTGCTGTACGGTCAGATACGAGGATTTGGAAGTGCAGAGCGAAAAAGCGCGCGAAATCTGTGAAAAAAGCGGCGGTCGATAAAACGGGATAACGTACGAAGATACCGGTCATTTGGTATGGTTGTTATCATAAATGGTGTAGCTTCTATCGTTTTCAAATTATCGGAAAACTATGAATTTGCGACAGAAATTCTGCAACAAAGTGCCCATTTGATCACTGTTTACGACCGAACAAAAGAAACAAGTAAATGCTTAAAAACTATGCAGGAAAAGAAAAGTGCAGAATCAATGAGTGAATAAATGTGGTTTTTAAAAACAACTAAAAGAAAAAAAAAGATAGAACTATAACTTTTGCAGCACAATTTTTTGATTTATAATAAACTGTAAGAAAAGATAAAAAGTACAAGATGAAAACATTTTGTCACAAAAATGAAACTTAAGTGTTTTATCAAAAATATTTTTCCGTTCCATTTGAGGTAAAACCAGAAAAAAAAAAGGGAGAAATGACTAAAATAAAATAAAGCAAAAAAAAAAGGTTTGAGCATATATTTTAATTCTACTAAAAGACAGCATAAGAAAAAACAAAACAAAAAAGAACTTTTCTGGTGAGACTAAGTTAACTGTATTTTTCAATTTTTTTTTCTTCTATTACTTATTTAATTTAGAAAATTCCTCTACTCTGTTCTTCCATTTCTTCTTCTTGAACAGTTTATTAGCTAGCAAAACCAACCGCAGAAGGTGAAAATAGTGAAGAAAGCAAAGAAGAGGATAATGACAAACATGACAAATGAGCAGGAAAAGGGCCTTTCTGTCATCTGTTATTCAGTTGTTTTAATAATTTAATAATAGCTACGGTTAACAAAAATCATGCTACAAGTAAACGAAGGTTTAAAAATGCCAAAAACATAATATTCTCAATTTTTGAGCAATAAACAAAAAGAAAATTTTTATTTTTGATCACTTGTTTCTCTAGTTTAGTGAAATTCTTCTTATTTAAATCCGTTTTAAAACTTGATCTTTTCAGGTAATAACTGCTGCAGCTTTGCTTTATGCTATAGGATATGCACCTTTTTTTTCTTGTTTTTGGTATTCCTCTTTTTCTCGTTTCTTTTTTTCTTCTTCTATACATTTTTTATAGTGATGATAGTTTGACGCTTGACAGCACTAATCTATTCTAGGCAAAAAAAATTTTTTTTTATGTTTAGGTAGCGGTACTTTTGTGTTTTTGTGTTTCTTCGATTGTTTGATTGTCAAAAGCAAAAAAAAATTTTAAAAAAAAAGCAAGAAAAGAAAAACTGCAGAACTAGAAGTAAAAAAAAAAAGACAAAGAAAAGTCTTCAGGTTTTAATTGAAAAACAGAAAAAAAAGAGATGTTAAATTTTTGATAACAACACGATTTCATGCTATGATAGTTTGTTTATTATTGTCTTATCGTCATATAACATAGATGTACAATCTGTTGTTCCCGTTTTGTTCTTTTCTCTTTTCTTTTTTCCTTAGTAGGGGTTTTAATAGTGGTGAGGAAGATAATGCCAGCGGTAAATTTTTGAGTTTTTTAGGTGGCTTTAAAAAACAGATGATTTATTGTTATATGAAGAAAAATGGTATTAAAAAGAACAACAGATAAGACGAAAAAAAGAGCACTTTTTTTGCAGCAAAACAATGATTCAGACGGTACAAATAACGTTGAGAAAATTTATAAGTTTGTCATTCAA